AGGAGAGCATGGGGTTCTGGGTGGCCAGGCCCACCATGGCCCTGGACGTGGGGTGGACCTTTCCAGCAGTCTTTGCAGGCCAGGCTCCTTTGCCTTGCCCACTGCAACCCGCAGGACCTGGCTGCAGTGTGCTTCCTGATGGGCAAGAGTAGGGGCCTGGACAAGGTCTGCCATTCTCAGGGCCCATGCAAGGTTGGTGGGCCTGCTGGAGGCAATCACGAGAGGTCTATCTGCCTCATGCCCAGGAGCCCGTTGTTCAGGAAGGCTGTGGAGCCCAGCTGTCCAGGGCCCTCTACCACCCTGAGCAAGAAAGGGTGATCACTGTCTTATGCCTCTTGTGCTGGGTAGCTTTTTACTGAGACATCTTGTGGCAAGGGTTAAGTGATGCAAAAGGACCTAAACAATTTGTCTACAGAATGCAACATCTTCAGAAATCAACAGCAGCATGGTGATCTAGGAGAAACTGCATCAGGGGAACCAGGGAATGCAGCACACTAACAGGTGACAAACAGGAAGGGTGAGAGTTTGAGGTGGAAACACAATTTCTGAAAGGTCTTCAGGCACCAAAGGCCAGTAACAGAGCAGAGCCTGGGAGCAATAGGTACCCAGGCATCAGCATCTCTGGAATGGCAGCCTATCGAATCCAGTCAGTGCTGGCCCGGCTATCACAGGAGCTCACTCCAAAGTCCACTGAAAAACCTGGCAAGTGGAAAACCGCATACCACTAGGCAGCAGATAGGGAGATAGATATTTGGCTGCACTCAGGGTAAAGGGCACAGGGTTATGTGGAGCTCTGGCTGTAGAATGGGCCAAAGTGCTCTGTACCCAAAGGGCTGTCAAGGCACTGGACAGGCCACTTCAGCTTCCCCAAGGGTTGAACCAGACGACAATGGGAAAAGCAGGTGGCAGGGCGGGGCAAGAGCTTCTGCTCCCCTAAGTTCGTGGCTCAGGCCCCTCCCAGGTCTGCCCCACACCTGGCACTTACACAGCCCCACCATTGCTAAGAGAGGTGGAACTCTTCTGC